TCAAAGGGACGCGGTTCCGCGTGTTTCCTTTGCAGACGTTAGTGCCTCTGAGAACCTTCCATATTGAAAACTCTTTAATTTAGAATGTTAGCAAATGCTGTTTATTAAAACTCTGTATTTTATGAAGACTCACAAGTCATGTAATGTGTTCTAGATTTTTGCAGATGTGACTTATTATTATAGAGACATTAAAATTGAATAGTCTACAAACTATAATTTAACATCATTTTCTTTTGTCATGCTTTATCAATCAAAATACCTTCAGAATCTAGTTTTATCATTAATTTGGTCCTAACAGTCGTCATTGTACTTGATAATTTTCAGTGCTTAATGCAGTTCATATCATGCAATTTCAAAGTATTTCTATCGCTATTTTAATAAATAATAATTCTTTTATTAGAATTTTTTTTTCTCCTGGTTTTTAACCATCTAAAATTGATGTACTGCAAAGCGCTTCTGGGAAATATGCCAACAGCTGTGGGTTTTAGTTTCAGGATGCCTGTTCGTAGTTCATACACACTCCCAAGTGTTCGTTGTAGGGGGTACATACAATCCTGTTTTCAGAATTCTTGGTAGCACGACATTGGCCTGATACACAGAGTGATGTTAAGACAGAGTCTGGTAGCTGTAAATATAAAGTGTAAGGGCCCATGTTTAAAAATAACCAAGCGCTCAAAATAGAACCTCGTTTTTCAAATCAGTTCAACACTGTTTAAAACAACGCCATAGTTATCAAACAGGACACAAGTAATTTTTAAGAGGTTGCCGTTATGTAGATGTTGTGCTTGCTTAGACGATAAAGTTCGATCGCTGCTGTTCAGAGTGACAACAGGTCACTTATATCCATTTTGTCGGGGTTGCTCGTACCAGCACCGCTGTACTGACCTCCTCCCATCCTGTGTTCGTTACAGGTGAGCTTCTTTTACTGCCGGCAACAGGTATGGCTTGTGCTCACAAGACCTGCAGTTGAACAGGTTAAAATGCAACGAGCTCTTGTAGATAGCATGTAGGCAAGGAGCATCTGAATACTGCCTCTGGCACGAAGTTTCTCTGTAGGCACTTGGGACATTTAATCTCTCTCCTTGCAATTGCCATCTGTAAAATGAAGTCATACGCGCTTACCTGTCTCACAGGAGCACAGATGATTAACTTGTGCTTGTGAAGTGATACAGGAATGCACTGAATGCACATCGGAGCCATCTGATCTCCAGATATGGGCAATTGTTCTTGGAAAAAACCTGAAAATGCTAGCAGCTGTGTTCATGTGTGTAGTGTAGTACCATAATCGACTCCTCTAACTGAAATGAGGGATATCATATGTCAAGATGGTGCTGGAGCCTTTCAGCATTCTCTCAGTGACTCTGCGAAACTTCAGCCATTCCAAACGCGAATATATTGCTTTTCAGAAATATTTTTGTAATCCCCAGTGCAAAGCCTCGCGTGTTTCTGAGTGCTCTCCAGTCTTTAACCCTGGCTGCCTTTGGGCTTTCTTGGGCTCCTTTCAGCTGGCTAAACCTGCAGCACGACAGCAACAACAGCTGGCATGAATTTGTTGAAGTCTTTGGTATTCACTGGTAAGCTTAAAAAGAGGAAGATCACCCCTTTTGCCTGTGAAATTACACACATTTCATGGTAGGATTTTAACAAAATTTCAAGGATGCTGCTGTCCTGCGTAAAACGAGATGAATGAGGCCCCTGTTGCGTTAGGTGCACTAACGCCACAGGACTGTTACTGTATGAGTTTGAGCGCAGCATATTATGACATACATATTTTACTTCTTTTAGAAGACAAAGGGAAAGCAAAACCCAATAGTGCAAGTCAGCGGTCCAGTCCAGAAGTGGGTCCTTTTCTTCCCAAACCTGGAGTGGCAGCAGTGGCACCTGTAACACCTGCCTCATCCTCCAAGAGCACAAATGGAGCTCCTAACACAGTTTCTGAGTCAGAAGAGGAAAAAGCCAAAAAACTACTTTACTGTTCATTATGCAAAGTGGCTGTGAATTCCCTGTCACAACTAGAAGCCCACAATACAGGTGAGTATGTGTACAGTGCAAGTCAGTTGTGTTTGTTATTTTAAAATTCAGTGTAACACGCTGGTTTTCTGACACTGTGGTAGCCACACTTCACTGAAGAATCTTTTAGTGAAAACATAGCAATGGCAAGTTACAAAAACGTTTCTGTTAATGACAATTTCATGTGTAGTGTTTGATATTTTATTAAAGTGCTCTCTGAATTTTTTTGAACTGTCCTTCATGTAGTCTGTAGGCTTTTAGTTGACAAAATCCCTACCGTTGATGTTACCTAATCAGATTCCATCATACCTCCATAGTGAGGAGCGTAGTAAGATCATAGTGGTTTCTGTAACACTAAGGTTTCTAAAAAGTCAGTTCACTGTCTCTTTCATATTTCATTTCACTGCCTCTGGTGTCTGTTTTTTTGCTGGTACGACTTACCGTAATTTTTGTTACTTGATATTTGTGATAATTTTAGGGTAGGCTCCTCTGATTTCCTAGATGTCCTAGAATCTTTTGATTATTGCAGATTAAATATGCTCCCTTTAAAAGGCCACAGGCAGCAGTCCCTAATGTTCTCTGGCTGCTCTGTGATGTGCTGGTGATGTAAAGCTTGTTAACAAATCGAGCTGGTTTTACAGCTGTAATCCATTCTTGAAATGGCCAAGCAGCCATTTCTTCTGAATCAGAGGATACTTATTGAAGTATTACTGTTCCTTAGGCAGGTTTTGAGTGATTGCTGTGGTTCCTCTCCCACTCTTGGCTAATGCCCTTTTCCGTCATTCACCAGCTGTATGGATTTTGGCAGAAGAATAAGCAAGAAACACCTTGGCCATACAGCCACACGCTGCCCCGAACACAGAGGCAGTGGCCCAGCATGCCCGTTGTTCCCTTTTTGTACAACCCCTTCTTCCATTGTCTGGCTTTGCTTTAGATGGAGGAAGTGGGAACTACACTGACCAAGACCAGAGTCATCATTAGTCCCGATCTGTGGTGACTTTAACGATTCTCTCTTGAAGATAAATGTGTTACAAAAAGTCCCAAGGCTAACGGGCATGGTTGTATGTTGCTGATCATTAACTCACCTGTGCCTCCTTGTGCATTAGGCTCCAAGCACAAGACCATGGTCGAGGCTCGGAACGGTGCCGGTCCCATCAAGTCTTACCCTAGACCTGGATCCCGGCTGAAGGTGCAGAATGGCAGTAAAGGCTCAGGACTGCAGAACAAGACGTTTCATTGTGAAATCTGTGATGTCCATGTTAATTCAGAAATTCAACTTAAACAGGTAGCTTGCACGTATCTGGGGCTCCTTTGTTGTTTTTAGTTTCATTGCAATATTGTAGGTGGAATATAGGTCCGTGTGAAGGTGTTTTGGCAAAAAGTGAGGTTAGTATAACTATTTCTAAGTAGTTCTGCATAGGTCAAGTTCACCTAATTGTTTCAGCTGGGAAAAAAATGAGCTTGAGAGCCATAAAGCAGAGGTGGACAACATGTCAGTATCAATGAATAACATAAGAGGTTCCCATAATTCCTCTTTTGGTGCTGTTTCAATCTGTTGGGATACTTTTTAATACCATGTGAGAAGGAGAATGTGACTTGAATCTATTGGTTTAGGACAATCAGCAGGAGGGTGATACTACAGATACTTCTGAATTGTGTAGAGCATGTTATCCTTAACAGTGTAGCTGTGTTAACATGCAGCTCCGCTCTGTCCGAGCCCATCAGCCCTGGATTCAGAGCTGTGCCAACACAAACACGGTGTTTCTGATACCCAAATGTGAACCTCTAACTGGATGGTGCTGTGCCATGTGGATGTGTCCCCTCGTTCCCTGTTAATAACCCTGTTATTTCAGTTATCTCTAAGATAGCATTAAGTTGCATGGTATAGACATATCCCTGGGTACAGGTTCTTCCTTCAGCTAATACTGAATTATTTATACAACTGAACAGCATCACTGAGACTGAAATTTGCCTCCTACTTCTGAATATCCCTATGACCTAGTGATTACAGCTCTGCCTGGTTCAAAGCTCCTCAAGTGGAAAAAAGAAAGAGTAATCAAAATATCAATAATTTGCAGAGCCTGTCTCAGATCACAGTTAGCTGTATTCGATTAGTTCCTGATTCTCCATTTGATGTGCTCCAAATTGTTACGTTTAATTTAGCAAAACTCATCTTTGCTCTCTCTAAAGAACCTACTTTATCTTACAAACAGGGGCTTTGGCATATCCTGCTGATAAATCAATTTCAAACTCAAAACTGAGAAATGTTTAAACAGCTAATTAAATGTGAGGATATTTATTTCAGCACATTTCCAGCCGAAGGCATAAGGACAGAGTTGCAGGAAAGCCTATGAAACCTAAATATAGTCCTTACAACAAACTGCAGCGCAGCCCAAGTATTTTAGCAGTAAGTATTTTTATTTCTCATCACTGTCTATGTGAATTTGTGACCCTGGGGACTCCCACCACACAGAGACAGGAACGTGACAGACCTGACGCTTCCGCAGTGTTTCTTCCCCTGCAGGCTGAGTCTGCATGAGGATCAGATTTGAAGATAGTTATGTATTCTGTCTGCCCAGTCAAAGGCACGCAGACAGCACCGCGAGCGTTATTTACCGCTAGGAAGAAGGGAATAATCAGTGGGATGGGGAATAATGAGCCGTGTGCCCCGTGGAAAGGTGTTGGCTCTGCTGGGCTAGTGCGTTTCTCCTTGAAGGCAGCGATGTATATCCCCTGTCTTTCTGGGCACCTGAGATAACTCAGTTGTGACAGATGCAGTCAGGGAAGAAGACATAAGATGTTAAGATATAAAAATACTAATGCTCCTTCTCTGCATACAGCAAAACAAAGTGCTGTGTGGATGTATTATGTAGGTGCAAAAGAGTTATCAGGTGTTTAGTAGAATTGATTGCCTATCCGCATGCTCAGGCTGTGTCTGTCACCGGCTATCACAACACCTCTCCTGCCTTTGTGCCCCCAGCCATTCCCTTTTCCCACCCACCTGCATTTCCAGGAGTTCCCCGAGCTGGTTCTGCCCGTCGGCAGCAGCCGGAGTTCAGCCTGGCTCTAGCACAACACAGACTGTTTGTATGTTTGCTCCTGACTCAGTCTGTATTTTCTTCATTAGGGAAAAGTGCATGCCACCTATGGCACAAAAACAATTTATAGGCTGGAAAGAGAGAGATGCAAATGTCTGTGCGCAAGAGTAGGCGTGTGAAAAGCCTTTAAAAGCTGAAATATTAATGTGTCTTTGTAATTGCATAGAGGCAAATGAAAATGCTACAGGCTTTCTCCAAGTTTCCCTATTCAATAGGTTCTGCACACACTAATCTTCTTCACTTGTGTAATGCAGCGAAGATCATTTTGTAATCTGTTGCATAAGGAGAGACCTCCACTAATAAAGGAAGGATCCTTGCCCCCAAAAACGTGTCATTGTGATGCAAACCATTTTCCGTGAGACTGTAGTGTGTATATTTCTGATTAGCTTTTTTACCACAAGCGCTAGCGATGATTGTAGATTATCTGCATTGGCAGGTAAAAAGCTGATTGGACTAGTTGCCTAGTCTACTAGGAACTACTAGTTTCCATCTTGACCACTGTACTTTTCTACAATTCATTTTTGCAAGTGGAAAATTTGACTCTTGACATTGAAGTCTTAATCATGGGGTGGTTTTTTTTTTTATTTCCTGCACAGTTATGATTTACATAATTTAATGTTGCTCACTTGCAAATTATGCTTCCTTCTAAATGTCAGTGTGCCCCTACACTCAGGAGATTTATGTATCTTTAAATATATGATTTGGTTGCTTTAGTTGCCTTGGGAGTAAGAAGACAATGTGGGTAAAATTTCTAAGCAGCTGACATGAAGCTTCTGTGAGAAACCATGGCGTGCCCTTTGTCAGGGTTCATTTTCTCCCTCATGTAAAAGAGGGCATGGAGAGAACTGTATTTATAGTGGGGTTTTTGTGTGTTTTCTTCCAGGCAAAACTCGCATTCCAGAAGGACATGATTAAGCCACTGGCACCTGCTTTCCTTTCATCTCCCCTTGCTGCGGCCGCAGCTGTATCATCGGCTCTGTCCCTTCCTCCCCGTCCCTCTGCCTCCTTGTTCCAGGCGCCTGCAATACCACCAGCTCTCCTCCGGCCGGGCCACGGTCCCATCCGGGCAACACCCGCCTCCATACTTTTTGCGCCATACTAATTTATTGATGTAAAAAAGAGGTAGCTATGGCCAGTGGAAAGGGTAGAAGAAAAGCAGGAAAGGGGTCAAGATTTTTAAATGTCTTTCTCTTTCGAAATGCCATCCAGCATGACACCTCAACAAAACACAGCATAAAATTCATCATTGATGGTACTGCATTTTGGAGTCTAGACAACTCTCTCTCTCTCTCTCTCTCTCTCTCTCTCTCTCTCTTTTTAATGCAGATAGAGTGATTTACTAGAAACTTAATTGCTCATAAAATTTATACCATTAAAGATCCATGGTTGGTTTTGGTTTTTTTTTTTGCTATGTGTATGATGCACCTTGGAATCAAGGAACGTAAAATATTCCTGACAGACTTGAAAACTAGGGTCTTCCTCACTCACACTTATGTAAATACTTCTCTGAAAGCCAATGGGTTATAATCTAATGTGGAAAAAACGTAGATGAACCAAATGCTTGATTGTGGATAACATCTCAAAAATTAATTGCATCCTTTTTTTTTTTCTTCAGTGTGCTCTTGTTGACAGGGACTGTGTACTGTCCTAGGCCCCAGTACTGGTGTATCTTGTGTAGTACTAAAGATGTATCACATGTCTGATTTTAATATTTTTAGTTTCTGTGCAAATGTTTGAAAGCAATGCAGCGCTGAAGCTTTTAATTATTTCTTTTGTGTCACACTTTATTTAGAGAAATTAAAAATAGAAAGCCATATAAGATGTAGTTAGGATTACTACTTGTTTGTTACTTTCATTTAACTTATTTTTCTTGTTTCCTCACTGATGTTGCTAAGCAATGTTTAAAGAGAAAAAAAGCTTTTCATTTGCACATTACCACAGCTCACATGCGTTGTTCAAGAAGACAATGGATCTATGTATTTGTACGTAAATATAATTTTCTTCTTCACTTCTAACTAGTTTCCTTTGTAACGATGCTGCATAACATTGTGGCTCCCTGATGCAATAATGTACAGAACATAAAATATTTATAATTGACCGCATTCTCTGTTTACTGAATATATTGCAGTAATGCCCCACCTATCTTCTTACCTCCCCAACCCTTTTATAAAGGTGATGTCAATATGCAGTACTCAGACTGAAGTCATTATGTGATAGTGGGGACAACAGGTGGAAGACAGGAAAAAGAAACAGAATTAACTTTTAGAGCATCTTTATCTGCAATCCATAATAGTCAAATGTCTGTGTATTTTTTTAAATGTACCTTTTCAATAAAATAATAAGAAATATATACATGCTTCTTGTGTTTATTAATTGCTACAGGAAAAACAGCCTGGAACAAGCAAAGTTAGTTAAAGGAGTCTTCAGGAGCAGGCAAAGCATTAGAGTTGGAATAAAGTATAATTACAGAACTTGTGTTTACTTCCCTTGTGTTTTAACATCTTTTCCTTGCTACATCCTGTTACAGCCTTTACTGGGGCTGTTTTGCAGTAAGACTAAACATTCGCTACGTCGGAGATTCAAAGGAAGAAGCAGTAGAGTCAGGTGGGTGATTATGGTTTTCTTATTGCACCACCAAAATGCTACAACATGGTTATGCCATCTCTGATGGAGATTAAGGATTAACTTTAAAACCAGCCTGGGCATACCCGAGACTGAAAGCAGCTCGCTTTGGAGCCAGGACTTGCTCTGAAGCATGGGCAAGGTAGACAGCTGCTTCACGCAGCAGGCTTTTGAGGGCAGGTGTTTGGGGAAGCTTTGAAATAATCTTTGCTGAAAATCTTGATCTGTTCTGTGAAAATCTTTTCTTTGTTGCTACGAAGTGAAGAATAAATACAAGAGCAAAAAGACTCAACTATAAGGCTGTTAGGGTTAGTGCAAAGCCAACAGGGCCATTACAAAGCCACCATGGCCAAGGAATAAAAATTTCAGGAACTTCAATAATACAGAATTTACAGACCAACATATACTTCATAGTTGCTAGATATTAGAGAGCATTTTCTAAAAGTGTAATTCTGCCTGTTTTCCACTATTCAGTGGAGCAGTCGACTGTGTTGTGAGAGGATAATTCTCTGGAGAATCACCTCCAAAGGTAAGGGAGTCGGGGCTTTTAGCATCCTCGGGGAAGCAGGTACAGTTGTATTGATCCTGCGGCCTGTGAGAATTACGGGGCAGTACAGGCGGGCCCTCTGCCGTGTGCCTCTCCTTGTCTCTGGTTCTGCAACTCGTGCTCGTAAGGAGTCAGGTTGAGCTGCTCGCCTGCCTTCAGCCGAGTCGGGTGCACGAGGAACCTGTTTCTCTCCAGCGTGAGACAGGTTTACGGATCTGTTGTATTTTAATTGGTTGTTCAGGACACAACGGCTGTATGTAATAAACCGCTGTTGTACCTGCTTTTTGTAACGTACTGTTGGTGATGAGAAATCTAAAGCAATTACAAGTTTCTGCAATTAAAAATGTTCCCATGTAAAACACAGACAACCTGTACTAAGGAGAGTACAGGCCAGGGGTGTGTAGATTTGTTTGACAGCTGGTTGTTTCAAAGAGCATCCTACACTGGAGGAATATTTAGGTCGCTAAGAGTGAAAGCATGTATCATGTCATCCAGCAATGAGAGGAATTACTTAACCTGTGAAACACAAGGAGGTAGAAGACTGTGAGTGTAAGCTAAGGAAGACTCCTGTTCAACGCCCTTTGTACTCTTTGCCGGGTTAACTTACATTTTGTGTACTGTTACTCCGCTTGCCACCAAAGCTTTGTCTATGACATGCAGGACTGAGCATTTGAGATGACAATTACATGACAAATGTCAAACTATCTCATTATGCCTGCCGGGATCTCATGCTTTAGCAACAAGCTCTACATGAGAAGAAAAATTTGTATCATACTTGTACAAAGGCTATCAGCTGCTTTTTTGATATGTTAGGATGTTTTCTCCTGAGGTGTAATATCATTACAGACAATTGGCTATGAAGTTCATGGGTTTGTTATAACAAAGAATTAGTACTGACATCTAATATTTGCACTGCAGTTACCATTTTGAATATACTGAATGTGCAAACCGCTGAGGTAGTAAGGCTAACGTAACAGCGTCACATCCTCTTGTATGTCTATTGTGCTAGGTCTGCTCACCGCACTCTTGAGCTGCAGGTTGTTCCTGTATGAGAAGTTGTCAGGGAGACTGTGTTGGTCAGGGGTTGTCCCCTGGCACTGCCATCTTTCTGTGGCGGGAGAAAAAGGATCCAGATCGGACAGAGACACATCAAGGGGAACTTTCTGCTGGTGCGCGTGGCTGGATCATGGTCCCTGTACTGCAAAGGTTTTCCATAAAGGGTATCAAACAGAGGACGTGGCCCAGTAGTCTATACAGAGAGATAATTTTAAGAAAAATAATATAAAGTGTATCTATCTTCTGTGACCACCGCAGGGTATTAGTATGTGCGCTCCTCGTTGCTGCAGGTCAAAATGATAAAATCTTTCCCTCTGGTTTTGGTCAGATAGCAGAAGGAAGACGACAGAAGCTAGCACACACGTTGCCACTTGAACTCCTGTGATAACGTTACACTGGCAATTGGAGTCCATCTACTATAAATTAATAAAGGTTTCCTGCAAAAAAGAGATTATTTAATTAAAAAATACATTACCTTATTTTGCTCCCTTACTCTGTGATCTTGGACTATAATTTTTACGCTCAGAAAAGTTTGCAAAAGAATTTGTCACATATTTTTCTGAAAAAAAAGATAGCACGGTTGTCTGAAGCTCTGCAGGAAGTATTTCACTATCTTTATGTATCTGACAATAATCCAGTGAGCCTCACTGTATATCTTTTGAACATGTCACCTTGAATAAGTGAGGTACTGTACTATTTATTCATTCTTGGTTGGACAGTAAATCTCCACAGCTGTCACCTCCTAGTCACAGTGGTCATGATGATTTTCTTACTATGGCTAGCATATGTTTTTAACCCTTTTTTTTAAACATTCTTGTTTCAAGTGACAACCTAAACATCTCAAATATTTATTGGAATGACCAGCATTTCAGGTAAAACTATATATATGTATTTTTTTTTAGTATCTAGAATTCTTAGATATTATAATGTTTTTGGATTAAATAACACTGATTTAGAAATGTTTCTGTTTGGTTTAGTTTCCTATTCATATTTATTTCTATTGCTAGAGTTCTGTGCTAGGTGCCGAATGCCAAGAGCTAACTCCTGCCAAGCACCAGAAGTGGAGGAGGCCGAACTGAGCCTGCGGCCTTTGAAAGCCTGCAACTGAGGGAGGTCCCCAGCAGCTGGAAAAAGGACAATTTTATGCCTGTCTTCAAAAATGGCACGGAAGAAGACCCGGGTGCTTGAAAACAAGTAGGTGACTGGGACTGGCCAACATGGGTTTTCAAACGGCAAGATGGTGCCTGAGCACTTCCTGTGATGAGATGCCTGTCTGTGCAGACACGGGGGAGCAGCGGGTGCCCTTAGGTTGACTTCAGCAAGGCGTCGTTACTACTCGGGTACGACACCATCTCTTGTAGAATCTCTGCCCGCAGATGGGGGCAGCACGGACGGGGTGGGTGGCTACCGGGTGGCCGTAGGAGTGGCTGGGCCACCAAGCTCCAAGCGTTGGGCAGCTGTTTGCAGCCCGCAACGGCCAGTCGAGCGCTGTTCCTCAGGGGTCAGCGACACCCAGCGTGCTCACCAGCGACCCGTACAGCGCGATGGAGGGCACCTGGCAAGTGTGCAGGTTCCAATACCAAATGGGGGGCTGCTTGTGCAGGCGGTATGCTGGAGGGCCGGGCTGCTGTCTGGAGGGACCGCCACGGGCTGGAAACGTGGCTTGGCAGGAGCCTCATGGGGTTCAGACAAAGGCCAGGTCCTGCATCTGGGAAGGAGCCACCCCTGAGCCATACTGCAGACCGGGCCCGCTCCCCAGAAAGCAGTTTTGCAGGAAAGAACCCGGGTGGGGTGGGGGACGCCCAAATTTTGTGGTGGACGAATTGGACACAAGCCTGCAGTGCGCCCTTGTGGCAGCGGAGCTCGTCTGAGCGCCG